AGGTGGTTGAGTATCAGATTGTTCCATCTTGTTTCCCTTTGGGGTTGCTGTAGGTGATCCAGAAGCCTGTTTTTGAGACTTGTTTACATGTCTTCTCATTTCCACGGGGGGCGGGGGCAGGGGGTGTTCTTCTCGCACCCGCGAGGCTCACTTTCTCTGCCCTAGGAGCTTGGGATGGCAGCGGGGGAGCTTCCTTCCGGGTGCTGGGACCAACTCAGCTTCCCTGCCCTAGGAGCTTAGGATGGCATCGGGGGAGCTTCCTTCCACGTGCTGGGACCGGCTCAGCTTCTCTGCCCTAGAAGCTTGGGATGGCAGCGGCGGAGCTTCCTTCTGGGCGCCTCATGTTGATAATTTCTAACATGATGGCCTTTTTTAGAGATGGGATTGCTGGAGATGAAACCCAGGGCCTTGAGCAAGCTAAATAAGCATGCTCTTTACCACTGAGCTATACACCTGCCCACGCAGTCTTTTTTTTTTTTCTTTTTGTCTCTTTATTACAATTAGAAATGAGAAAAGGATGCAGAATTTATGCAACTGTCAGTTAAGATTATGTCCTAGGTGAGCTCAGCTCTTGAGTTAACACTAATCTAGTTGGTCCTCACTGAGCTGCTGCAAGGCTGTAATGAGATCAGTATCCTTCATACAGTTGCACTGACAAAGAAGCTAGCCATTTAAGTCCTGTTGTTCATACAAATAATATCCACTGTAAATGTTTCATGAAATCTAGTCCTACTTCAAAACCAGAAAATAACAACCTTCTAAGTAGGATCTACCCAAACCCCAAAGGGGTTAGTTAATCTATTCACTGTTGTTACCACAACCCTGCCTTCCTTGACACATAGGCATGCTCATGGCCCATCACAAAAAGGAAAACTCAGTCTGAGAGATCTTCTTTTAATGATATATCCAGGATTATTTTATCAAGCCACGTGGAAGTAAGATTTTAAATTGTGTATGAGCACTTCCACTCATAGCATCTGGTCCAAACAGTGAGAAATAGAAGCCATGCGTATGTTTGTTTGGGTCTTGATCCAAGTTGTCCTTTGTCTTGTTTCCTCCGAGACTTAAAGGTATTGTCAAATTGCCTGAGGTTTCTGCCCGCCCTAGTGTTCCTTCTGAATGACATCAGGAGATGAACATAGCTGTCACAGGATCTTCAGTAATGAGAGTCACATTGTTATCTTAAATTGATAAGGATGCTATGTACAAGTTTTGTTTGTGACTTTGCTGCCTCTCATTGACTGTCCTTGGATGTTCCTAGGTTTCTATGGTGAACAGAGCCTTGGGCTGGGGGGGGCCGGTCATAGTGGTGTCTCTATGCTTGTCCAGTCTTCACATGGAGGAATGCTACAGGTCGGACTGCCCTGTGCTGTCTACTGCATGGTCCCATTCACATGGACAAGACAGTCCTTCAGGGTGGCATTGGACTAAAATGAGACCTTTTTGTTCAGGTAGAAAGTGTAGCTAATAGATTTTCAAGTAAGTTTATGAATATAATTTAAAGCCTATGTGATATGCTTTTTTTTTATAATCCACTATTAACTAATTTTGTTCTTATTTTACCCCTCAGTCACCAGCTTCCAGAGAAGAGGTACGAGATGATAAGACAACGATAAAATGTGAAACTTCCCCTCCCTCCTCTCCAAGGTCCCTTCGATTAGACAGGCTGCACAAAGGGGCATTGCATACTGTCAGCCACGAGGACATCAGGGACATGAGAAAGTAAGGATCAGTCCTCATAAGCCAAAAGACCTCTGAGAAACCTTCTTATCTTAGGTTTTAAGAACATCTATTAATCTTTTCTTGGAAAAAAAAACAAAACAAAGTGTTTTTAAAGAATTTAAAGTTTTTAAAGAATTACTGGGTAAGGTAATTCAGTTGTGTTTATTAAAATGTTAGACCTAGAATGCCTGCCACTGGTCTGAGGCCATAGTGACATCCAGCTGAAGAGGCCATCTGTTTGGGCAAAGTTTGTAAAGGAAGGAATTATTTGAGATCAGCACTTTATAGAAAAACACCATTTCTTCAGATTCCACACATTCACTGCTTTGAGAACTTCCTTTCTATTCTTGGTGGAAAGTTTGTCACACATATGTGGTAGGTTCTGGGAAATGCTACTCTGTGGACAATCAGTGCCTCTCAGGTGCTCTTCTGTACTCTGGGTCTTATAAGCTGTTGAGAGTTTGACATTACCCTTATCCCTTTAGTAAACATCCTGTCAGGAAGCCAGTAAGCTGTTTGGTTATTAGTAGACTATCATTTTACACACTTCCACTTATGAGTTTCTGTTCTGTACCAGGTAGGATGACAGAGGGTGCACATTAGTCCCCACAGTGGCTCTACAGGTGGTACTGCTGTTGCTTTTTGTTTGAGGAGAGCAGGACCGTGGGAGCCTTCAGGAGCTGCTGAAAGGATGAGAATTCCAGTTCCTCTGGCTCCCGAGACCATGTTCTCTGTTGCCTGAGTGCGGCCGTTACTGGCAGAGCAAGACCCCTGAGAGGGTGCTTCTTGGGGCACCCAAATCAGGTGGGCTGGAGTCCAGACCTCCTCTGAGCAGGGAGCACACCTCAGAATCTTGGCTTCCCAGGAACAAGTCTGTGGGAGTGTTACTGGAAGCCTGAGTTATTGTGCATAACATACTGCATGTAAGAGACTTGAAATATTCTTTAGGAAGTTTAAGGAACAAATATTAAAAACACAGACTGTTCTAGTGCATGTGAGTGTTCTGGGGAGCTGTGATGACATCTTGTGGTAAAGATCCATTTTCTTTCCTTAAAGCTCAACAGGCTCCCAGGATGGTCCTGTGAGCAATCCCAGCAGCAGTAACAGCAGCCAGGACTCGCTCCACAAAGCCCCCAAGAAGAAGGGCATCAAGTCCTCTATTGGCCGTTTGTTTGGCAAGAAGGAAAAGGGCCGGCCTGGACAAACTGGCAAAGAATCTCCAGGACAAGGTGGGTGAGTTTGCAGCAGCCATCCTAACTGTTGGGAGTGGGGGAGAGCATGAGCTTTCCTTTGTGTGTTTGTTGTATGTGACCAGTTCCCACACAAAGTCACGGCTGAGCATCCTCCAAGAAGCATCATTCTCATAGTCTGCCCAGGTGTAAACCAGAGAGCAACTGTGAACATTCATTTGCCCTGAGTGATTAGCCCTTCATAGGTGCAAGTTTACTCTCAGACACTTTTATGTGTTATTTGCTTAGAAGCTTAGCCTTCAGGAATTATTTAGCTATTGGGCCAGGGATTTAGCTCAGTGGTTCCGCCACCTGCCTCAAAAGCACAAGGTCCCAAGTTCGATCCCCGGTACCAAAAAAAAAAAAAATGCTTATGATGAATTATTTAGCTCTGTACCTATAAAGAGTCTTCCACCTATTTGTTTAAACACATAACTTTGCCATGTTAATTTACTCTCAATTTGGGGGCTCTTGTGCTTCCTTGTAGCTGGTGTTTCAGAGACAGAAAACTCATCTCAAGATGCCCTGGGACTTAGCAAATTGGGAGGACAGGCTGAAAAAAATCGTAAACTTCAAAAAAAGTAAGCTTTTTTTAATTTCACCATCTCACTGAACAGTTTTCAGAGTTAACGGTGTTTAAGTTTTAGCTGTTTTTAAATGTAATATCTAGCTATGTATAGACATTGTCTTTTAAAAGATTAACCTAAAGCAGGATGGCAAACATTTTAGAGCTTTCAGTGATACAAACAGCCTGCTGCAAGCACTGAGATACCTGACAGAAGGATACAGAGGAACAGTGTGTACATGTCTCTGATGTACGATGGGTTGTATAAGCTGACCACACCCCAAACCAGAGTTAGGCAGGTGAACTAGATAAGTTGAGACATTTTCCCTGTGAACTGATGAATAAAAAAATAAAACTTTCTGCAACAAAATAGATAGTGTATAAAGTCTAAGAGGTAAAAGTTGAACTTGATAGTAGGGAAAAAACTTGAAAGCCTAAGATAAAATGGTCACACTGGTCTTGAGAAAAGGTGAAAGTTCATGAGCTCTTTTATAAATTTGATTATGAGAAATATCCTGTGGCCACTCCTAAGGGCCCTGAGAAGCCAGCACTATCTGGAACTCAGGGTGCAAAGGCCTTGGTCCCAAAGTCACACTACAGCACCTGGGAACCTCTCTGCTAGAAAGTTATGGAATCTGTCTCATTTTAGTTCTCTTCTTGGAATTCATAATGACTATTTATTTTTCAACTTTTATTAGTACATGTTTGCACTACATAATGATTGCATTCTGGTACACGTACATAACAAATTTCAATTCTTTTTTTTTCCTCTTCCCTCTGCCCCCCTTTTATTTTGTCAAAATCACATTCATTTATTTCTCTTATAAGACCTTAGCATATATACAGGTTAAAAAAACAAACTAATAGGCAAAAAAACATAAAACACATAAGATAATTGGTCTAAGTCAAGGTACATTTTTAGATACATTGTCTGCTCTAGGTTACAATAACATTTTTTCTTTTCTCTCTTTTTTTCCTTTTATCTGACTTTTATTTCATACTTTATATATTTTTCATATCATAATAACTGTCTTTTTTTGCTTGTTTGTTTTTTGAGACAGGGTGTCACTTTGTAGTTCAGGCTGGCCTTGAACTCACAGCAGTCTTCCTGCTTCTCAACCTCCCAAGTCCTGGAATTACAGGTGTGGGCAATCATGCCCATTCATAATGACTATCTTAACTAGCTCACCACTGATAATATGCCATTGCAGGTGAAATTCTATTATGGGAACAATTTTATACGAATACTCAGCCTTTGCTGCTCTGTAAATAGAAATTTGTAGAAACGATTTAACAGCACTTGGTGGATATTCTTTGTGGGCAGATGATGGGCATTCTGGAAAGAGTCCTGTCACTCCCTGGTTACTGTACTTTTGTTTGCTCTTTTTAATTTTTTCTTTTCTTGTTTTTGAGATGGGTTCTGTATGTAATCCAGGCTGTCCTTGAACTCATGGTGATCCTCCTGCCTGAGCCTCTCACATGCTGGGATTACAGGTCCATGTAACCTGGCTTGATTACCTTGTTTTGGGGCTGATGGCAAGAAGAGTTCTTTTTTTTGTTTTTTGGTATGGGGGATCAAACTCAGGACCTTGTGCTTGGGAGGCAGACGGCAGCACCACTGAGCTAAATCCCCAGCCCCTGAAGAGTTGTTTATTAAGAAAATTAAGCAGTAAAAGAATGAATGTTGCTGAAGCTTAAATGTTCTGTCATATTTATGTTTGCAGTTATAGTAGAATTGGGGAAAACAGGTGGTTCTTTTATTAGAAAATAATCATATGGGTAGATGGCTAGGTAACCTTGCCCAAATGGGCAATCAGGCAAATGAGTAAACACCACGTAGCTGTTTAGTTTTACAAGTCACAGATTTAGAAAAATGGGTGGCTGCATTAAGTATTCTCAGTAACACAAAAAGAGACCCAGTTCCAAGATCCACTGAAAAAAGAAGAAAGTAATTGTATGTATCACAAAGAGCCAGAGTAGAACTGGCCACAGGAGTCTGCAGGGTCCATATTCTGCATCTTAACACGGGAGGCTTCTGCACATCTTTGGGAACAACACTACCACCACCCTCCCATGAAAACTGGGGCTCTAATGTGCCCATCTGTGGTGTTAGCCTAGGTTAGGTACCCAGTCTCATAGATCACAGACTACCTGGTAAGGGAGGGAGCTACCTGCAGGTGGAGCTTGGGCCAGCTACTCAGTCAGGGTCTCCTGTACTTGTGTCCTAACATCTCAAGACTTTTGGATGCATCATCCTAATTCCACTGCCTTCACACCCTTCCCACTGCTGCATCTGGACCCCAGGCCTATCTCTAAGCGCACACAGTTACTTTCAGGAAGAAGGTGCAAATAAAGTGCACAGCAGTGCACACCAAGCTTCAGGTAGCGGAGGCTGAAGGACCCCTTGTTCTTTGTTCACAGTGCATGTCTGTTACATACTTTAAAAAAAGATTATAGCTGGTGCAGTGACATGCACCTTTAATCATCCCACTATCTGGGAAGTTGAGGCAAGAAGATGCACAAGTTCAAGGCCAACCTAGGCAACTTAGTGAGAAACGGTCTCAAGATAAAAAAATAAAAATGGCTGAGGATTTAGTTTAGTGGTAGAACATTTGGTTCCATCCCCAATACCAGAAACAATCCAACAAAGTCATTGTTGGAGTACTGAGGACAGTATCTATTGAGTGTGAACACAATCTGGAAGCCCTCCTGTCCTGCAGCAGTAGTCCTCTTTCTCCTTGGCCTGACCACAGTGTCCAGAACAGACCCTTTATTGAAGTTCAGATCTTTGCCTTGAAATTGATTTATACTGCTTTGTGTATGTATTTAAATGAGTCATAGCAGCTCTCTAGACAGGTTTGGCAGTCTTATGGGATCACCTACTGCTTCGTGTACAGATGAGCACATTTCTGCGGATCTCATTTTCTCTCTTTTTTTCTTGAGACAGGGTCTCACTATGTAGTTCCAGCCTCGAATTCTCAGTGATCTTTCTGCCTCAGTCTCCCAAGGGCTGGGGTTACAGGCAGTGTCACCACGCCTGGCTGATCTCAGTTTCTTTATGAGTTGCTTTTCTTGTTTCAACTAGGAAGCCTTTTTTTTTTTTTTTTTTGCTCCACCTGAGATATTAAAATATTTGCTCCCTTCTCTGGTACAGTTACTCTCTGGTTGTTGTTCCTGGGTGTATGGGTGACTTAGGAACTCTTAATTGAAAATTTTTTTTTGGTACCAGGGATCGAACTTGGGACCTTGTGCTTGCGAGGCAGGTGCTGGAACCACTGAGCTAAATCCCCAGCCCTCTATTAATTGAAATTTTACATGAAACATTTTACTTAGAACATAAGCTTTAATTATAATAGACTTTATAGTCTGAAGAAAAGGCCACTACTATTATTACCCAGTATTTATCTTTAGAAATTTCTGTGGAATATTTCACACAAATAATTGTAAAAAAATAACTAAAAAGAACCTAGAAATTTAAAAAATGACTGGGGGCGCTTGCTGAAGTGTGTAGCTCAGTGGTAGAGTATGTGCCTAGCATGTGTGAAGTCCTGGGTTTCATCCCCAGGACCATATAAAAAGAAAGGGAAAAAAATCAGATGTTATGGCACATGCCTACTATCTTAGCACTCTGGAAAGCTGAGGCAGGAAGATTACAAGCTCAAGCCCAGCCTGGGTGACTTAGTGAGACCCTACCTCAAAAATTTAAAAAGGGGCTAGTATGTAGCTTAATGCAAAGGCCCTAGGTTCAGTCCCCATCCTTCAAAAGAAAGAGAGGGGGAGGGGAAAAGGGAAGAGAGAGAAAGGCAGACAGACTGAGTGACTGGAGGTGTTTTTGCACATAAAGTAACCATACCTGTCTTCTCTGTTCTAATGCCATCCTCTCTTCTAGGCTATTAAGTCTCTTTTTTAAAAAGTGTTGTAGGTAAGCACTTCAGAAATAAGACAAGACTTTACCATGCTTACGCTGTTAATCTTTCACATAACTATGCTAGACAAATCATTTTTAGAGATGTTAGTATAGTAAAATTGTGACTTGGGTATTTAGAAATAAAGCACATATGATATTTTCAATCACATCAGGTGTGCACAGCAAGACTCTCCTGCACACTTTCCTGCAGCGCATCCTTGGTGTTGCATGAGTTTCTGTGCTCATGGTACATTCTGCATTGAACAAGTTGTTGGGATTTCTGGCCCTCTAAAGATACGTTAAAACCACAAGATGACCCAGTGACTTAATTTATCTTGCACCTATTTAGCTGAAGAGAGGTGTACAGTAGAAACTGTCATCCATTACTTGTTTGCTATAATAGGTGATAACATTTTTATTGTTAAAAATCTGCATTGCAGTTGGGTGTGTGGTGCACACCTATAATCCCAATGCTCCGGAGACTGGCTATGGAGTTTGAGGCCAGCCTGGACTCACATAGCAAAACCTTGTCTCAACACCACCACTACCACCACCACCTGTCAAAAAAAAAAAGGACACTTTTTTTTTTTTTGGTATGGGGGATCGAACTTGGGACCTTGCACTTGCCAGGCAGGTGTTGGAACCACTGAGCTAAATCCCCAGCCCAAAGAACACTTTTTTTTAAGACTGTCACAAAGATAGGTACTGATGTCTCAACTAAGGTATGGTTTCCTCTTCCTAGATATTTTTTCTTCATTGTTTAAAAGCAGTGGAAGCAGTGGTTCTGTTTTCGCCTAATTGTCCTATTACCTTGGATATGAAAATTCGGCTTGGGTTTTATAAGTTGGTAGTAATTTTCAAATTCTCTGAAGTAATAGTGATTGAATTGGGAATCAAGGGAGCTCTCTAGCATTGTTTTTACTCAGGCATTCTCCATAGTATGTATGAAACTGGCATTTCAAGGGTGATGTTAAGAACATCAAAGCTATAGAAGATTAAAGGAAATGAGAATACCTGTTATTACGCTTTGAAAATGCTCAAAGGGAATACTCCATTAACTTGTTTTATGTGTAACAGTGATTCTTTAATTTAAATGTTTTCTTATTCACAGACACGAATTGCTGGAGGAAGCCCGGAGGCAAGGCTTACCGTTTGCACAGTGGGATGGGCCAACAGTGGTTGTATGGCTGGAGGTACATCCCTTTAATACTGAGTCGGGTATGCTAATGACTCAAACTTGTTGATGCATCTCCTGTTTATACCTGATGTTCTGGCCTCTTCATTCTCATCTCCAGCTCTGGGTTGGGATGCCTGCTTGGTACGTGGCTGCCTGCAGAGCAAATGTGAAAAGTGGGGCCATCATGTCAGCCCTGTCAGACACAGAGATCCAACGGGAGATTGGCATCAGCAACCCCCTACACAGGCTGAAGTTGCGGCTGGCCATCCAGGAGATCATGTCACTAACCAGCCCATCTGCCCCGCCCACATCGAGAACGGTGCGTTCGCAGAGGCTCTCTGTTCTCTGGGGAGGAGGAAGGCAGGCCTCCGTGAAGGCAGTGTCCTGCTAACATTGTTCCCTTGGTGCTTCATTATCACACTCAGGGTGATTTTGACTTAAAATTTCAGTAGAGCATAGTACAACCCATAACTTAGGGGAATTAAGTGGTCCAAAGAAACTACCAAATGCTATGTAAAAGCTTGGTTAGAAAGGCCTCATTTAAAAAGTGAGGCTTTTTTTGAAAGGGAGAAAATTGATTGTCACAAATTTAAATATGAATTTGTCAAAACTGAGTAAGTCTAAGGACTTCTTGAGGAAGGAAAAATTAACATCTTAAGTAATATTTTATACTTCTTGAATTTCATTTTCTATTTCATGATTCAAACTGAATGATTAGCACTTACACTATATATAAAAATATTTGCTTACCAAATTATATGCTGTAAATCTTAACGTTTTTCTTCAAATACACAGCAAAATATACAGATAAGCCCAGGGCTGTATGGACCCTCACATTGTTCCCCAGGGGGTAAACAAACACCTGGCTCCTGGCATCTAGGCTAGAAACAGGATTGTGCTGCCTTTACTTTCTTGTGTCTGGCTTCTTCAAAATCCTATGTATGAGTGCATCTGTGTCATGTCACGTGTAGATAGGACTTAAGGAGTAACTTTATATATCTGCTACAGAGTTGAGGCCCTTCCAGGCATCTCAGAGGTGCCTGTGAAATACAGCTGACATGCTAGTAAGGGATGGTCTCTACCCCAAAATCTTCTGGTTCCTAGAGAGTTCTGATCTCTTCTTAGTGGACATTTTTTTCCCTACAAAAACTAAAGAAGGAAAAACAGTGAGCTCACTGGATACACTGTGGCTGGTACACTGGGCACACTGTGACACTGTGGGGCCAGCAGGTGCTCTCCAACTTGGGAGCTGCTGGTGTCTGCCCTGCACTGCTTGTGCTCACGTAGATGCTCTTCACATGGGGAGTCCTGAAGAGTCCTCAAAAGAGTTTCCTGGTAACTATTCTGATGAAATGTCAATGGTTATTAGGAGATAAGGGCAGGCCAGGTCCTAATTTGCAAAATTCAGGGGGTTTTCATTTGGCTGTTCTGTTCAGTCCTCTGCTTTAGAGAGAAAACAAATTCTTAGAGCCTTGTAGACATACTGCTGAGTAGCAGGCCAAGATCTGGCTTGCAGCTCACAGTAACTTTACAAAAAATAAACGGTTGAGATTTTGTTTGGTAGAGAATTATGAAAATGAACAATAAGCCTTTGTTCTTACCCATGGCTCAGAGAGCTTTTTCCTAGTGGAATGCTTTGTAACCAGGATCAATCTGTTCCCCAGCTGTTTTTACATTAGTATGGCCTTTCTAGAAATGAAGATGCTGTGTGGCTTTTCCAAAGCTTTTAAGAACCCTCTTTTGAAAGGGAGCTCCTGTGATTGAGTTTAATGATTAGTGAGGACTGGATCTCACTTTGGACAGACTCTCCCACACCATCAGATGGAAACACAGAAATTGCTTCCCTGGGGAACTTAGAGTGGGTCAGCAGGGTGGCCATCAGTCTCATGTCTGGCTCTGATGGTAACACAGTGCCATTGTTTGTGTTTTTTGTTTTGTTTTGTGGTACTGGGGCTCAAACCCAGGGCCTTGGGAGAGCCAGGCAGACACCCTATCATGAGCTACACTTTGAGTGTGGTGAGACCATTGTAAACACTGTATATTGAATCATTAGTTACTGGAGAAAGAAAGTTTTCAGCAGTATAAAATGTACTCTCTCATGCATACTGGTAAGCATGATGTCCATGCTGACAACACTGTTCACAAGGCGTGGTTATTCTTTAAAAGGGGATAAGCTTGTGTTAATGATCAAGTGCAAAGTGTGACCTTTGCCTCTTGGCTCCTTTTCTGTGCCAGTGGCTTATATGTGTGCCCCTCTCCTCTCTGTCACGCTTCTCTTTCCCTGGATGTGGCTGGTGCACTGGGGTCACCTTAGACCACAGGAAATGTCTGGTTAACACACGAAGAGATGGAAACACTCGCAGCCACGCCGCAAACGGTTAGTCAGCCCCAAAGCTCGCGCTCCAAAGTGCATTTGCCACTCCAGACTGACTGGGTCCTTTGCCTTTTTGTTGAAAACAAAAATGTTATTTTGCATTCATTTGTTTCAGATACGTATTCTTTTTAGGTTATTAGTTAATGTATAGAATCAAATTTACATTTTTAAGATATTTTACAGGAACTTAAAAGTTTATAGACCTGCCCAATTTAGAGAAGATGTAATTTGCCTCTCCTTTTGGAGAGATCTCAGTTGAACACTCATTGTGATTACCTAACCCCAACTTTCTCCTTTACCAGTGTGCTTGGCATGGAAAGAGTCTGCTCCTTGCATGGAAATTTGAAATTATTGGTTTTGCATGAGTTTTGCATGATACTTTCATATTTTGAACACTTTTCACTCAGTCAAGATGCACTTTCCCTTCAGAGTTGATTTGCTTGTAGTACTAAAGCTCACTAATACTAATAGTTATGTTCTTTTGCATTCCTAACCACGTAACATCAGGAAGATGAGGAGGGAAGCTGGGCTCAGGTTGGAGTCTTTCTATAATATTTCTTCACTCTGTGTAGCAACAGAAAGCAATTGAGTATGTAAACTTGTGTGATTTGCTTTAGTGGGTGTTTTTAGCACCATAATTTACTCATAGTATTGTTAATGACTTGAAATATTAGTCAAGCAAAGCACAGGCTTAAAGAGTACGTCTCATGGACAATTTTGAACATTTCTCCTATGGAGTCACGATAGTTACTTTTAATTAGCATGGATTGCTTTATTTATTAATAGAATCCCTTTACACAAAGTCCCCTGGCTTAGGCAGTTCCTGGTACATGTAGCTCCCTGCTTGGGTAGCTTCAGTTACAAGATCTACTGGTGGAAAAAATGAAATGCACTTCCAAACCTGAAAGTTGGCTTAGGGCCTTTCCCTTTATATTGGTATTTTACTTTGTATTGGTATTTTACTAAGTACTGTTGTACTACTGTGTTGATTTAAAGATCTTTCTGATGACGTTCTCAGAAATTAAGCCTCTTATCACTTCATGGACATTGAAATTTTCAACTCCCTAATTCTTCATCTCACAGAAAGCTCTGCCCCAGTTGTTTTACAGCCTCTGCATTCAAATGACTTGATTAAATTCCTAGTTTCCCCCTTCCCCTCTGGGCCTTCAATGGGCACAGTGCATTTCCAGGGGGCTTGCAGTTCTTTTAGCTTTTCACAATGGCACATTATTCAGGGGCTCAGAAGAGTTAGCACATATCTGAAAACAAGTATAAATAACTTTAAATTGGCATTTTCCCAATTAAAAAATGATGGTTGAAATAGTTGTTTCTGTTTGCACTTCTAAAGAGTACTTATATCACCTGGATGGCTGGTTGTTTTGCTTTTTATTTGTTTAAAAAAGAAGAAAGGCCAGGCAAAAGAAAGAGAGTCCGGGCGTTGGTGGCGCACACCTGTGATCCCAGCACTTGGGAGGCTGAGGCAGGAGGATTGCTCTTAGTTAGAGGCCAGCCTAGTCTACAAAGGGAGTTCAAGGCCAGCCTGGACTACATAGTGAGACTCTGTCTCGAAAATACAAAAAACATTTAAAAATAAAAAGGAAGAGAGTAGCTACTAACTGTGAGTTTTCTCTCCCTGGGTTTAGGCACTCTGTGCCTCCAGATAAATCACCTAAATTAACTTAACCTAGTTAGAGATCTCTTTACAGGATCAGTAATGACCATCAGTGAATTAAACAGTGTGTTTCATAATTATTAAGTTTCAGTATATTTAACATGACAAAGTAGAACGTGGTCAGCATTTCAGTATGAAATTGCCTGCTTCAGAGACATGAAGTGTAATTAAATAAGCTTAGCATTTGCTTTGCAAAGTAGTATAAGAAGGGGTCATGCGGGATTCCAGATTTACCCCACATGCAGTGTCTAGCAGAAGCTTGGTGCACTTTCCCACCATCCTTCTGAGACGGAGCTGCTAGGACAGAGCTGTACACTTTGCTTGCCCTGTGCTGGCACTGAGTGGCTTAACTTTCACCTAAGGGGAGATTTAAGCTTGGGAAGAAACACTGAGGTGTGTTCACTTAACAGATGTAAGATAGTACTGGCAGTGTATGAAGACTGTGCCACCTGCCAGGAGCCACCTGTAAACAGGACAGCCACAGTCCCACCCTCACAGAGCTCACACTTTACTGAGCATGAAGCCGGGATTGACTTGCATAGTGCGCTCGGAATATGGGGTCCCTTTGTATACTTCCTTCAGAAGGTGGTAGTGGCAGCTCAGGAGAGGAGGAAGTCTCCCTGAAACTTGAGTCTGAGCTGCTGAAATCCACATTAGCAGCAACTTCAGAAGTGTACACAGAGGTTATATTGAGTAAACAGAGAAAAAGGGGGTTTGCCTCTGTGCAGTTTTTTATTTGGAAAATTTCTTTCCTCTGCCCATTGAAAGATACATAGTCAGTAGGACAGAAAACATCCAATATTCAGGCTACAAATACCAGGCCCATGAGAATAAGGATTGAAGGACTGAATCATGGTAATACTGTTAGGTATCTTTTTTCTTGGTTTTTTTTTGGTACCAGGGATCGAACTCAGGACCTTGCTCTTGCAAGGCAGGCAGTGGAACCACTGAGCTAAATTCCCGGCCCTTACTGTTAGGTATCTTAAGGGTTACCAAAGTGTTTATTGTATTTCTCACTCATTGTTTAAAGAAAGTTATGAAAACTTTTCTGTTAGAATTTGAACATTCTTAGCTAAGTCATTCCTTCCATTTTGTCTGGAACAAATAACAAATTAGAGGCTATTGTTTTAAGATAAACATGGAGACTGGGCATGGTGGCACACGCCTGTAATCCCAGCACTTGGGAGGCTGAGGCAGGAGGATGGCCTTGAGTTCAAGACCAACCTGAACTACATAATGAGACCCTATCTCCAAAAAAAAGGAAAAGACAAACATGGATCCAGATGTGGTGGACACACCTGTAATCCCAGCTACTCAGGAAGTTGAGGCAGGAGGAGGTCAAGTTAGAGGCCAACTTGGGCAACCTAGTGAGAACCTACTATAAAATAATAAAGTAAAATAAAGGACTGTGATGTAGCTCAGGTTAGAGTGCTTGCCTAGCATGTGTGAGACCCTGGGTTCAATCCAGGGGAGGAGGTTTAGTGGCTGATCGTTTTTATTTCCAAGGATTCCTCAGTGTACCTGCAGGATTCCTGTGAACATAATTTAATCTTCCTTAGCTGGAGAGTATCGTGAACCTTTCTCTGTTATGCACTGGTATATAATGTATATTTTTCACTGTACAGACCTTGGACATATTCGGTTAGATTTACCCATAAGGATTTTATGGGATTTAGTGCCATTCTAAATGATATTTTTAAAACCTCAATTTCCAGTTCATTTCTTATATTTAGAAATGTAATTAGTTTTCATGTATTGATGTTATACCTGGCAACTTTGCTAAATTCATATATAAATCCTGATAGCTATTTCGTAGACTTCTTTTCAACATTGATAATTGTATCATTTACAAATAAAGAGAGCTTTATTTCTTTCCCAACTCATATCCTCTTTGTATCTTTTTCCTGCCGTTACAGTGGCCAGGACTCCAGCACAGTGCCGAACATAAGCAGTGAAAGTGGACACCCCCTTGCTTCTTTCTGTTCAGTGAGGCATTCAGCCCCTCACCGCTGAGGAAGATATTAGCTCCAGGCTTTTTGTAGATGGCCCTTAACAGGTTGAGGCAGTTGTCTTTCATTCCTAGAATGCTGGGAGTTTCATAAATGACTAATGGATCCTGTCACATGTGATTGAGATATTATGAGATATTATGGTTTTCTTTGTCAATTTCTTGATAGGGTAAATTTCATTTTTTTCCCCTAAGTTGTTGACAATCTATTCCTGAGACAATCTACTTGACACGATCCCTCATTTTTTTTATAGAGTCCAGACTAGTCCCAAACTCACAATACTCCTCCTTCAGCCTTCTAAGTGCTGGGATTATAGGCATGCACCACCATATCAAACAAGAAAAGTACAGCCTGAAGCTAGATGTGATGGTGCACCCCTGTAGTCCCAAATACTCAGGAGGCCAAGACACAAAGGTCACTTGAGCCCAGAAGTTGGATGCTGTAATGTGCTGTGCCAGTTGGGTGTCCACACTAAGACTGGCATCAACGTGGTGACCTCCTTGCATGGAGGTACCTGTGGATAACCACTACACGTAAGCCTGGGCATGTAGTGGAACTTGTGTCTTAAAAAGTTGAGTAGAATATTCTGTGGATACATCCAGGTTAGGTTGATTGATACTGTTATTTCAGTCCATATCCTTTCTGGCTTTTTTCCTTTTCTTTCTCCTTTTTTTAAAAAAATTGGCTTGTTCAATTATTAAGAGAGGAGTGTTGAAGTCTTCTAAGTTTAATTGTGTGTGTACTCAGTTTTATTAGTTGTTGGTTTATCTTTTTAAATTTCCTTTTACTGATTTTCAAATACACTTGTCATTAGGAAAACAAAATATTTAAAATAAAATCAAAACTAGCCAGATCTTATTTCAATAATTGAATTGATTCTTCAAACTTGTTCATGAGTCGTGATCATTCTTTGTTCTTACATTATTGAATTAAAAACTATTTCAAAAACTAAAATAAAAACTTTCAGAAAGGGAACTTATAGTCAGTTATGATTTTACTGTAATTTGATAAATTTATCACAAATGAGTCATAAAATTTTAGTGATATAATTCCTTTTATATAAGACTTTAACAAATTTAAAAGGTAGGGATAGGAGATCAAATTATTGGGAAATTATAAAGAGCAATGTTGTTATTAATTTAGCCCTTGAGAATGTTGTCAGGATTAAACTAGGGTGAACTGATGTTACGCATTTATTGAAAGCAGACACTTGCATATGGGGACATGAACCATGAGTGGATTGGCAATGAGTGGCTGCCCAGCCTGGGTCTCCCTCAGTACCGCAGCTACTTCATGGAGTGCCTTGTGGATGCCCGGATGCTGGACCACCTGACCAAGAAAGACCTGCGAGGGCAGCTGAAAATGGTCGACAGTTTTCACAGGTGAGTTAGTGCAGTGGTTCATACTAATGGACCGAGAGAGTTTTTACAGTTGCCATCTCTAAAAAAATCTCTTATTTTTGTAAATAGAAACAGTTTCCAGTGTGGAATTATGTGCCTGCGAAGATTAAATTATGATCGAAAAGAACTGGAAAGAAAAAGAGAAGAAAGTCAGAATGAAATAAAAGGCAAGTACATTATGCTTGATGGATGTAGCACATGCCTGCTGCCTGCCAAGCAGCCTCAATGATTGCCTATTTTAAAAATGTAGGATCCAGCTGAGATGGCACACACCTATAATCCTAGCACTCTGGGAAGCTGTAGCAGGAGAATCACAAGTCCGAGCCCAGCCTAGGCAACATAAACTTGGCAAAACCCTCTCTCAAAATAAAAAATATAGAAGGGTAGGGATACAGCTCAGTGTAAAAGCCCTGAGTTTATTCCCTAGTATCTCAAAAAAAAAAAATCAAGAGCTGAGGGTGTGGCTTAGTGGTAAGGCACTTGCTTAGCATTTGCATTGCCCTGGGTTTGAGCCCTAGTATTACAAAAAGAAAAGCAAAATAACCACACATTTAGGCAGGCTTGGTGGCATACAACTGCAGTCCCAGTTAATAGAGATGTTAAGGCAGAAGGATCACAAGTTTAGGGCCAGGTGGGCAACTTAGTGAGACCCTGTCTCAAAAAACTAAAAATAGATTTTAAAAATGGGGTTGCTAAGGATGTAGCTCAATGATGGAGCACTTGCCTAGCATGCATGAAGCCCTGGGTTTCATCTCTAGTACCACACACATGCAAAAAAAAAAAAAGAAAGAAAGAAAAATATCAGGGAAGGATTTAAGTGGAAACAACTGAACTAGCATAGTAATGAGGGATGAAAAGGAGTGTCCTGAGGGAGCATGTGCTCGCCTCAGTCTGTAGGCTACAGCGCTTGTAGTTCTCCTTTTGTTATTGTACATTGTATGTGCTCTATCTCATAGGTGCTGTCTTGCACTATTAGATCAGTGCAGAGCAAGACTAATAAGCCCCTGCCTCTTGTTTACTGGATGGAGGTCAAAACTCTGGCTCTGGGACCTTCTCTGAGGGCTACGGCAGCACACAGAGCACCTTGGAGTTCTTTTCCCAGAGGGAAAAAGAGGCCAGGCAACTTGCAGCCTAGCACCCTCATTTTTTAAATTTAATTTTTTATTTTCTTGAGACCAGGGCCTCACTAAGTTGTCTGGTCTGGCCTTGAACTTATGATCCTCTTGCCTCAGCATCCCTAGTAACTGGTATTGCAGTCCTTGGAAAAGGAGCAGGGTATCCTGAGGGCAAGGAAAAGACATATCAGAAAGAGGCCAGGAAGTGTAAGAGGGCATGGCAGCACCCCTCAGAAGGCCAGGGACAGGCATTCCCTCTGAATATAGCACTAAATGTCATGCTTCCATGGTAGAAGAGTTGCCTAGCATACACAAGGCCTGGGGTTCAGTTCCTAGCACTGCAAGAAACAAAGAATAGGTTGAGATTTATTTAGAAAAGGAATTCAGAAATGAAATGCATCAATCCATTTCATTTGTTTTCTGTATCCCTTCTCCATCTTTTTTCAGTTGACAAAAGCTGTCTTTGAAAGGATTGGTGATCAAATATATTTTTACAGAGTGGCTATTTTTAGCTCTCTAAAAGTTTAATAGTTCTATTTGCACAAAATGAGACCTCCAAAATCTCTAACATGCTAGAGAATGTCTTTAAAGTTCTGTCTTTTTAAAATGAAAGAAACGATAAGATGTTTAGTGTAAACAAAGGTTCAAGATTAGAAGCAAAGGGTTTGCGTTGACCTGAACAAGGCATCTGAATTGTCATGGTGCCTTCTCCTTTCGTGACAGAGAAGCATTTCCAGAGACTTTGGGATCTGCATAGGAGACACATACATGGTAGGTGTTTGGGTTCTTTCATCCTTCTTCATTCTGACTCCAGGCCCTCAACCTGTTCTTTGTTTTTTTATTAATAAATTTTATTTTATTTGGTTTTATCCCATTACCCCTCAAGCCCCCTCCTCTCCCTATGTACAAAAGCTTTGTTTCCATTTTTTCCTTCTATTTTCATTTTTTTTCTTCTTCCTTCCTTCCTTTCTTCCTCTCTCCCCCCTTATTCCCCTTCCCATTTCAACACTTTCTTCCCATTTCCCAATTTCCATTATACATCTCAGTCCTTATTTCCATAGGTTCTTTGTTTTTTGCAGTGCTAGGAATTGAACCCCAGGCCTCATGCTTGCTGGGCAAGTTCTCTGCCACTGAGCTACATCTCCAGACAATCATCCTGTTTTGTTCCCTGGATATATGATATACATAATCTTATTGTGACCCCCTATGTTCACTAGGGGAGGAGTCCTAAGAGGAAGGTTTTTGTTAGAATGGGGCAAAGCCAAGACACCTGTGTTTAGGTGCTGTGTCTGCCAGGATTTGTGAGGATGGAGTCTGCTTTCGGAAACTGAAGAATCAGGATCCATGCTAGGAATCTTTCCCCTGCGTTATCGGATGTGTGTGATGAAGAGGCTTTCTGAAGCCACATTTACAATTGCTTTGTTCTTTCACAGATGTGCTTGTTTGGAGCAATGATCGAGTGATTCGCTGGATCTTATCCATTGGCCTTAAAGAATATGCAAACAATCTTATAGAGAGTGGTGTTCACGGTGCACTTCTGGCCTTAGATGAAACCTTCGATTTCAATGCACTGGCACTGTTGTTACAGATCCCAACACAGAATACACAGGTGACACTAGAGCCTGTCCCTCTGCCCACTTGGTCAGTGTTCAGTTAGTTCTGTGGTTATAGACATTTAGTTGTTCATTTGAATGGAGAGAAAACCCCAGACAAATATTAATATCTTTCCATAACTAATGTGTAATATAACAGTTCAAAATAGCAAATGCTTGATTTGTCACTATCCTTCTATTTTATGTTGCAAGCATGTGAGTCTTAACTTTGTTTTTAAAAACTGTAATGTGTAACATCTTTCAGATATATTTAGTTGTTGTTTTGTTTCTTCAGGCTCGAGCTGTCTTGGAAAGAGAGTTTAACAACCTTTTGGTCATGGGGACTGACAGAAGGTTTGATGAAGTAAGTTTTCACCTTTCTTTCCCCCCTCAGTGCTAGCTAGGGCTTCACACCTGCCAGGCAGATGTGCACACATGCATAAAACAGATCACAGCCTGTGATCAAGAGGCTAAGTTGTATTTTGGGGACAACTGAATATCTGCCCTAATCCCCAGTGTTAGGAAGGTTTGTTTCAGAAGTATATTAAATTTTGCTTCATGCTAAATCATAACTCATATTCCCACACATTAGGATTCTCTTCACTGGGCCTCAAGAAAATTTGATTTTGACAAAGATAATAGAAGCCACCTCTAAAAAAAAGCGCTTGTTGATACATCAAACATAAGCCAGGATTATTTGTAGCTTGAATATTTTGAAGATAGATAAAAATGCATTCTATAGCAGGAAAGTGCTTTTTGCACAGTAAGAAACGAAACATGATGAGTGAGAGGATCACATCCCTGGTGGTCCAGGGCTGTCCTCATTTCTCTTGTTAGGGCCCAGCAGGAATGTGACCACACTTCTTTCACACTGAAGTTCCAGTTTGAGCAGTATATTGGAAAGTCACCAGAAAGGGGTTAAAGCAGAACAGTCAGGAGTTCAGCAGTAACTCTGAAGGATAGTTAACTTTCTGAGGGTGTCTGTCCTTGACTTTTTCTTTAATTTGCAGGACGATGACAAAAGCTTTAGGAGAGCACCTTCATGGAGAAAGAAGTTTAGACCAAAGGACATTCGTGGCTTGGCAGCTGGGTCAGCAGAGACACTCCCTGCAAACTTTCGAGTCACTTCTTCCATGTCTTCCCCCTCTATGCAGCCAAAGAAGATGCAGATGGACGGTATGTGGTGGGCCATGTAACCCACCACTTGCTGGGAGCATGTGCGCGCTAATAATTACCTAGAGTGACCATTTAATGTGTTACAAAGCATCTGAGTTCGGTTGCATGACCAGATATAAATGCTTCAGAATTAACCCTAACATTTGTTTGTAAATAGTTAACAACAATAATAGAATTTTTTAAAAACTTGTCTGGTTGAACCTTAGCATACTCGCCCAACTAATAAAGCTGAGCGGCCATCTGTATTCTCAGGGCTGAGTCTGATGACTCTGTGGGGTCCAATATGTGGCAGACAGCACTCACTTGCCAATAAAAGTGTAGTGTGCCACCTTCAAACCACAAAATTACTCCCAGGACTCCTCCCCACACTGGAAAAAAGGGCTGAGTAAACTTTAGCACACAACTTCCAGCTTTTCCAAACTCTGTCTTTCCTTTTTCCTTCCCTCCACTGTTATTTTTCCGTATACTTACGTGTGTGTCCATTAAAGAAGGACAGGGAAGAAGGCAAGAGCCTTGTGGAAACTGCCCTGCTGCCTTACCAGTGACAGATGGCAAAGCAGTAGCCTTTCCAGTGAGGTTTGGGATGTCCTTTAGATAACCACTGATTGGAGAACACAATTGGTTGAGAGTAGACCACGAGTCCCTGATAGATCTTAGCTGTGATCTCCTGTCTATCTAATAAAAGTGCACAGGCTCAAGAGCTAGGCTAGATCCACATCCGGCTCTGGTGCTAGCAGTTGCAGGAACTTGAGCAAATCATTTAGTTGCATTGCGCCTCAGTTTCCACATCTGTAATGTGGACAATACAGTAGGTTGGTTTTGATGATTAAATGAGTCATTGGGTGAAGCTGAGAGTCCTAAGCCCTGTGCCACTGCTGACAGTCTCACTGTTACATGGGACCTTATTCTCCTTTCTGATGCACATGATTGTGCTGTATAAACTGTACTGATGGGATTCTTACAAGTTTTCTGTCTTTAGCTCCTCTTGTAAGTTTTTTTTTCTCTCACTTTGCCTATATGAAAATCAGAGAAAAGTACATTTGTGTAAAGTTTTTTTAAACGGAACACTTTTGGTAATGATAACTTTCAGGGAAACTTTTTATTAAAAGCTGTATTTTTCAGAGTTCAAAAATACAATCAAAGGGAAAATCCAATGTATCTTTTAACTAGCAACTTCTTAAGAATTAGCATTTTTTCCTCCCAAAGAGCATGCAGTTAAGTCTTATAAATGTTGGTAAGGCATGGTTGTGCATGCTTGTAATCCCAGTACTCAGGAGGCTGAGGCAGGAAGATTATGAGTTTGAGGCTAATGTGGGCCACAAAACCAGTTCAAGACCAGGCTGAACTACATAGCAAGACCTTGTATCATTTATAAATAAATAAGCTGTGACTTGGCCTTCAGCTTAATTTCCATTGGTTTATTGAGAAGTCTAAATGAATGGTCTCTTATTTTCCCTGTACCTTCAATTTTTGTTTCCCCATTAAGAATTACATTTTCTCTTTTCTCCCAATACTGGGGTTTGCACTCAGGACCTTGTGCTTGCCAGGCAGGCACAGCACCACTAAGCTAAATCTCTGGCCCTTACATTTTCTCTTTAAACATTGAGTGATATTAATTTAGCTGGACATGGCACACACCTGTAATCCCAGCACTGGGGAGGCTGCAGCAGGAGGATTGCTGAGAGTTCAATGCCAACATGAACTATATAGGGAGACCCTGTTTCAAAAACAACAAAATGAAACAAAAATAAAGAGTAGTATTAATGAGTTTGTTTGTTTGTGGCTTATTTGGTTTTTGGTGGTGGTGGTGGTGGTGGTGGGTTTTTGTTGTTGTTATTTGGGGTTTTTTGTTGGTACTAGGGATGGAACCCAGGGTCTTCACACTATACTACACCCCTATCCCTTTATTTTTTTTGAGACAGAGTCTTGCTAAGTTGTCCAGGTTGGGCTTGAACTTGGCGTTTTCCTGCTTCGGCCTCCTAGAGTTCTAGGATTACAGCACCATCACACTCTGCTTAACAATAAATTTAGATAGATTAAAAATAAACTAGAAAGCCAGGGAGTTAGCTCAGTGGTTCCGCCTCCTGCCTCGCAAGTGCAAGGTCCCGAGTTCTATCCCCGGTACCTAAATAAATAAATAAATTAACTAGAAAATGGTGTAGGGGATATATTATGTAGATGACTATCTTGGTAAGGTTGATTGTTTTAATGACTTTAAAATCAGAGAGTGTAAGGTAAATTCCAACCGTTCTCCTAGACTTTAGAATCAAGATTTACAATGATTACCCAGTCCCACCAACACGACCAGCTATCTGTCTTTTCTAGAACTGTGGCAGGATGTTACTAAGAAGCATACCTGTGGGAAAACACACTGTACAGCTGGAAGCACAAAGACCTCCTAAAGATGTTGAGAGCTCCTTACCCAGTTTGTGACAGGTCTGGGCTTACCTATTTGGCCTACCCAGTGTTTGTCAAACAGGAACTCATATCTTAGTGTTCTCCATTCTTTTTTGTAGAAGCTGAGACAAGCTTTAGTCTTCTGAGAGAAGTTGTGCTGGCCACGGCCCCTGCGGCTGTGCCTCTTCACCTGCGACCCACCCCTGAGAGCAGTGAGTGCAGGGCAGCTGGCTTTCCCTCCTCCCCTTCACCGGGCTGTTGATGCACCCCATTTCATTGTTGGAGGTACAGCTCTAGGGCAGAAGGAAAAGTCCAGTTAGTATATAAATGCATGGCTTAAAGGAATACAAAGTGACCACACTAAGTGGCTATATGTACACTTTGAAATTCTTTTCCTATGGCAGGGTGCTCCGTTGCTATTTTAGGGTTAAGAGCCAATGTCCCCAGGTTCCTGCAGTGGTGGGAGAGCCACCTCTGGATGGCCCTCTGATGCTCTTGCCATGCTCCTCCCCCACTCCACCAGGCACCCCTAGGACCCTTCAGTGGGTACCATTGTAGGTGTGGAGATGTATGTCTTACCTGTGCCCTGTGTGACGTGTTAAAACTAACTGCACGCTGTGTTTGCACGCTTCCTCTCGTGGTTGTCGAAACAGGCAGTGTATCAGGAACACAGAGGTTGGATTCTGCTACAGTCAGGACTTACTCCTGCTAAAGCCTCCTGTTGGTGAGTAGAGAGCAGCATAATCCCTGGAGATCATCCCTGGTACAGCTGTCAAAAGTGTGAAGTTTTAACACCGAGCTAGAAGTATGGGCTTTAGGCCAGGATAATCTAACAATTGGGAACTTTAAAAATATGAATGTACTAGCTCTGTACCCATTAAGGTGATTTTGGTGTTACAGTTGACCATAAAGAGGTCAGTGTGCCCTCATTTTTGTTGTTAGCTTTTATTTTTATTAGTTTGTGTTTGTTGTACTTAAATTCATCATGAGAAGTTGGTACCTGTACATAACACTTCCTAATTCTTTTTACCTACCCTCTCCTCTCTCCCTCGTGTCCTCATTTTTTAAGGAAAAAAATGTATTTCCACTCTTTCCTTAAAACTGAAAATTCCTGCTCATTTTAAGTGATGATCTGCTGATACCATTGATGGGGAGATGGCAGGAGAGCAGCAGCTGAGGGAAGGGAGCCCCCTCAACCCACAGTTGACTGATGCCAGGAGGCCAGAGCCTGGGGTGTGGGGCGCATCCTTCCACTTGGACATGTTTGTACGCAGCATTACACAACTCCTAAACTTGCTTTGTTCTAAATACCCTCCCACCCCATTTTTTTGATAACAGAGTCTTGCTAAATTGTCTAGTCTGGGTTCAAACTTGCAGTCCTCCTGCCTCAGCCTCCTGGCGTGCTGGGATTGCAGACATGTGCCATTATGCATGTCAGAGATTGCATTTTAAACACAAAGCTGCATTGCCATGCCTGGGCTCCAGTGACCTACCTGTGTCCTGGTGGTCTGGGGCTTCGACTAAAGACAGAGGCACCGCTGGTCCATGTTCAGAACCCCAGCTGGAGCTCTGCCTACTCTGCTCAGGCTTAACACCTCAGCTAGAATCTGGGATCGGCTTTGTAGTCTTTTCATTTTAACTTTAGAACTATTGCAAAATCTAGACAGTCAAGGAGCACTCTGGTTGGCGAGTGCAGTCCTTGGTGTTCTGTCTGGTGATGCTCCAGGAGACAAGATGCAGGACATAGGTCGCAGGAGGCCTGGGTGGATGGGGGACCCAGCGTGAGTGTCTGAATTCGAGGTCCTTTTCCAGGTGACTTGTATTAAGAGAGGTTTTTTTGTTTGTTTTTATCTTCCAGTTTACCCACACTACTTCTACAGATGATTATGCAGCATTTTGAATCCAACAGAGACTACATTTTCAAATTTAATGGAATCTCTAATCTGTTAATACTTGTTACATGGACCTTAAGATATTTTATTACAGAGTTTTTAATTAGTGAAAAATTCATGAATACCATAGAGAAAATATTTTAGAATTTAATGTTTCTTATATTTATGTAAACTTATGACTCTTCATTTATATACTTTTTCATGTATGTCCAGGCTATAAATACCCCTTGAGTCAATTCATGTTCTTATACCTAATTTTAGTCTTTCAAATGAATGTACTGTAATGCTTGTATGTATAAATCCTATGAACAAATATAGGGCTTTTGTAAATTAGGCACTTATTGTAATTATCACTGTTTAATTTTTTAATAATAAGCCATGACAGAAAAGGATTTTACTACATTTATAAAATCGTCATGACACAGCAATGTGCATTATCCTTTACCTAGCTCCACATCAATCATTTTAAAATAAGCAGACTTAATTCCAAGGAGTTGTTGTCATATTTTAAGGTTGACTGACCTTAACTACTTTTTCTAGCAAGAAATCGGCATCTAATAAAGTTGAGACTGAACAGTTGTATCAGAACACTATAAAACTCCCTGGGCACCGGTTCCCTTTTCCTCACCCTGTCCCTGGACTGGGGAAGCTTCTCTTCAGAGACTAACCAGAAGCTATGAGCTGGGAGCTGCTCTCAGCAGGGCTGGAGTGGCCAGGGGTTGGGGCCCAGCCTGGCCGCCTTCTCTCTGCCTCCCTCCTGCGAGCAGGTGGAAGGCGCCCTCCAACTACTCTGCGAGGACCAATCACTGAGCACTGTGCTCGCATCTCAGACATCGGTGCATGAGCAGATGAAGGCAGGAAATGCTGAAAATAACGTTGTGCAACTCTAATAAAGGCCTTATTTTTCATATATGTCATCTTTATACATTTGTTTGTAAATCTGTTTAAAGGATGAACCTAGTCATTTTTAGGTTTTGATGATATAGCCATTTTGGATTGTATAAGTAGCAAGTATAACTTTTACTTTTTAAATGGAATATTAAAAAGCCAGCAAGAAAGTCAGATCATGGTGAGTTATTTATTATGCAACTGACGCATAGAAGCAGCATGTCTTTTTATATTTGGTTTCTGCTTTCAATTCACTTGTACAATTCATTGTTACTGTTCTGTTTTTCTGTTAATCTTTTGTGAACTTCCTGATTATGTAACAAAGTGTACAGTCTACTTTTGAACTATTTTTATCACAGTATTATTTATTGCTTTCTTTCAATAAAATCCTGAAGCATTTTCCACTGCCAATGAAGAATTCTGTGACTAAGCCATGATTACATTAAAAATGGGCCGTAGCCTCCTGCTCTAGGCTGGTTCCCTGAAGGCAGTGTCAGTCTGGAAGGTACGCCATGGAAATCAACTGATAAAAAATTAGAAGACGTAAGTGTAGAATTGGGGCATCAGCCGAGGGAAAATGGTGTCTTGCTGGAGCTTGGGCCCGGTTAGACCAGGATGGGAATTGGCCCCGTCCTGTAGTGGTTGGGACCCCAACAAGTTTGACTCTTCCCACTGTTTCTAAGCCCTTTTTTAGGCTTGAAAATATTATCTTTTTTTTGGGTACTGGGGATCGAACTCAGGTCCTCATGCTTGCGCAGCACGTGATGAAACCACTGAGCTAAATCTCCGGCCTGGAAATACTATCTTCCTGTTGGCTGATGTGATAAAGTGGCTGTTTGCAAGTTTCTCCTCTTGTGTTTCATATCATGCATTTCAAAAGAATTGTGGGCTTGAGGTTTTTATTCTCTGCAAAGTCTGCCCGTTCCCCAGTGGGGTTTGCAGGGCATGGGTAAGAGGCCAGTCTTCCCTCCATTCCTTGGGGGGTCAGGGGGTGGGTAGATATCCCAGTGCTATTGTTGCTATTCTGAACACCCACATATCAGTGCATTTCGGATATCTCAGATTCTTTTACGTCTCCCTCATTTCCTGACCTTTCTTCCCTGGTGAGAATGAGTAGTCAGTGATTTTGCCTACAGTTGTCTCAGTATCCATAGGGAATTTACCCCGAAGATACCAAGATCCATAGCTGCTTGGGTCCTTGTGTAAAATGCATAGTATTTGCATAAAACCTGCACGTGTCCCTCCATACGCTTTAAGTCATCTCTGGATGACTTACACTTAATACAGTGGAAATGCTGTGGAAATAGTTGTTTGCTATTTAGGAAATACTGATAAGAACATCTGTATGTGTTCAGTACAGATACAACTTTTTTTTTTCTGGGACTAGGGGTTGAACCTAGAGCCTTCACACTAAGCTATATCCCCAGCCCTTTTGTATTTTTGAGACTTGAGTCTCATTAAGTTGCTAAATTTCCTGGGCTGGGCTTAAGTTTGGGATCCTCCTGCCTCAGATGCAGTTGGTTGAATCCTTGGAGCTCAGGAGCACAGAGTGGGAGGAGGTGGCACAAGGAAGCAGTCGCTTCCTTCTCGGGGCTGTACAGAAGAGTCCTCCTCTCAGCTAGTAAGGGACCCTTGGGGCAGTTCCTCTGCCCAACCCCTCCCTGACCAGCACCACAGCGCAGGTCAAGCTCCTGGGCTGAACCTAGATGCAGAACTGGAAATCTGCTCACTCTGAGGGCTGGGAGTTTGTTCAGTTCACTCTTCATTCTGTTCTGTACGAATTCACATGTAGACCATTCCTCAGCCTCGAGGAGCCCAGTGCAAATCACACTGTTAAATGAGATCTTCACTTTCCCCCACTGGACCCTTCAGCAACAGCTCCTTGTGATTTGACTGTGAATACTTAAACAGGCCTTGCCCTTCCCTTTCAGAAGAAGCCAATGGCAGAACACCGTTCTTTACTCTTGATGGTGGCAGTTGAGTTGACTACCCCAGACTTTGCCTTATATTCCACAGTTCTTGTCTTCAGGTGGACAGAATGCTCTCATAAAATTAAAGTGATGCAACGTAGTACTGTGGTATTTCAAAACCCTATGGGGCTGGAGAGATTTTAATCAAGTCTTCAGCACCCTACTGGAGTGTGTGTGTGTGTGTGTGTGTGTGTGTGTGTGGTGTATGGTAGAAAAGTGCTGTACCCCTGAGCTATACTTCCAGCTCTGTTTTGCTTTAAAGTAAAACATGAACATCATTTAAAGTCAAAACATAACTAGCCATGCCTGCCTTCCCTTCCTGCCTTCTCCCCAGTCCATGGGGAACTGTTTGAGTATTTATTATATTACTTTCTTACACCTAAATGTGTGTTCAGTGTTCTCTCCAGATTTGTCCATTAAGTCTTGTCTTTGGCCTCTCTTTGTGGTCTATGAAAATTTTAGCATGCAGCATACTTCCCTCTCCTCCCAGCAGAGGTAAGGCAAAGTTGTGGTTGAATCTGTGTTCACTACTTACGGTATTCGGGCTGTAAATATTTATTCGAATCTAGGCATGTGCGATACTGTGCTGGCACCAAGAAAGGCACTTAACAGGCTGTACTTCCTCACTGCTGAGATCCTCACAGGTGAGAGCATGTGATGTCTGCAGGGACATTCAGGACACAGATAAAACAACATTGATGTGTGTTGATGGTAGTTGAAGACAGGTGATAGATTTACGAGGGTTTACTAGTCTTTTTTTGTTTTCTGAGACAGGGTCTCACTATGTAGTGTAGGCTGGCCTTGAACTCACTTATGTAGCCCAGCCTGGCCTTGAACTCTGCAACCCTTCCTCAGCCTCCTGAGTGCTGTGATTACAGCCATGTCCCATCATGCCCATCTATATTAGTCTACTTTTGAGTATGGAATTTTCCATGATGAAAAAAATAATATCTTAAGGAAACCCTCTATTATAAACTGTCTTAAGCTGGCCATGGTGGTACATGCCTGTCTGTAATCCTAGCACTTGGGAGGCTGAGGCAGAAGGATTGCCAGAAGTTTGAAGCCAGCCTGGGCTACATAGTTCAAAGCCAGCCTGAACTACATAGTGAAACCTTGTCTCAAAAAAGTAAGTAAATAACGCATAAATAAACTATGACTCTTTGTGGTATAAAAAAAAAAAAAGTAAACTGTCAGCCTTTAGATATCTGTAAGTACAGTTTCTTGGTCCTCACTTTTAGAAAACTACATCCTGCACCAGGAACATTTTACATCACAGCCCAATATGTACCCCTACAATCATACATTCTATCATGATTCTTTAACATTATTATATCTGAAATTTGGATGCTGCTTACAAGGAATGTCATTCTAGACTTGATGGGTCACAGAAAGAACGTCCAACTTAACATGGGCTGCAAATTCTTGGTTACTCTGCTCACTGAAAGTGGAGTTAATTCTCTCCTAAAATTTGAACGGGACTTAGTGATTTGCTTGATCAAAAGAATGTGGTATGGTGAGATCAGTGGCACATGCCTGTAATCCCAGCCACTCTGGAGTCTGAGGGATAGCCTGGCCACTTAGCAGTACCCTGGGCAGCCTGGGCAACTTAGTATTACCCTGTCTCAAAAAATAAAGGGCTGGAGATGTAGCTCAGTGGTAGAATGCACTAAACATACAGTGTTTAGAAACAGTTTTTAGAAATTAATGAAGCTACATCCTAAGACACCTTTCAGCTTCTACCTGGGCTTTGTGGAACTCTTTACTCTGAAAGGAGCAGGCCACTAAGTAAGAAGTCCCACTACCCATAGGCAGTGTGCTGGAAGGAAGCCTGTGCTAGCCACATGTAGACTGTGAAGAGGCAGTAGTGCCCAGAGGCCATCCCCAGCTCCTCCTGCCATCCTAGTCTAGCTGCCAGATGTGTTGGTGAGGAACCTAACTTGAGTAGGCCAGCCCCAGAGACACTATGGAGAAAGAAAAAAGAACAACTCCCAGTCAGGACCAAGGCCCCAGTCAGGACCAAGGCCCCAGCCATCACCGGCCAACGGAGTTTCCCTGGTAAGGCTGCATGGAAGGTAAAGACAACCCTCCTCAGGGTGTCTGACCAAGTCCCTGAGCCAAGATGACATGAACAGGTGTAAATGGTTGCTTTTCACCACTACTAGCCTGGAGATAACTTACTACACAACAACTAGGTATGGAATGCACTTGTGTATTCTGCTCTACTGTCCTCTACTTTTATGCTGTTCCCTCCCAGCAAATGGATCTCAAAGTCCTCTGAAAGATCACAATCTGCCCTAGTGACTTAATTAACTGTTGCTATATAAAAATCCACCCTAAAGCTTAGTGGTAAGGGCTTGTGGCATGGCTCAGTGGTAGCATCCATGAGACCTTGGGACCAAAAATAATAAACCTTAGTGGTGAAACACAAAGATGTGTTATTCTTTTGGTTCAGTGGGTTCTGTTGAGATTTCCAGAGAACACTTTTGTGACTGGCAGCTCTGGATGGTTCAACATGGCCAGGATCCTACACTGCCTTCCATATGGCCTCATCTTTCAGTGGGTCAGAGTGACCATTTTGCCTGCCATGTGACCCCAGCATGCTTCCCAGACCCTAGGGATAAAGTCATTAAGATAGACAAGTATGTTGTGGCAGCTGCTGACTTGGGTTGATGTTAGAAATGTTAACAGTTTTTGAGCAAGGCCAGGTGCATTCTGGGTAGCCACTGCCCACCTTTGTCTAGATTGGCATATACACCACTCTTTTTGGGTGTGGTGATAGACTTGTCTTACTGCCATTCAAGACATGGCTTTTTTGTCTGTAAGTCAACAATAAATTGCACTTTGACCAGTCTTGGGTCAGTCTGTCTCACAGCACCTTCTGCTTTTGGAGGCCAGTTCTCTAGTAGATCTATGCGTGACAGTGGGATATTGAGGTCCCCCATTACAATTGTATTGATATTTATCTGATTTTACATGTTCATTGGTGTTCATTTTATAAAGTGTGACATGCCAGTATTTGGCATGTATATGTTTATAATTGCTATCCCTTTCTATTGAATTGTTCCTTTAACCAATATGTAGTGCCCTTTGTCTCTTCTGATCAGTTTTGGCTTGAAATCCACTTTGTCTGAAATTAAGATTGCTACTTCCTGCTTTTTTCTGGGTTCTTATTCCTTGGAATATTGTTTCCCATCTTTTGATTTTTAATCTATGAATTTCTTTTTTAATTAAATGTGTCTTTGTATACTGCATATCGTTGGGTTTTGATTCTGGATCCATTCTGACAATCTGTGACTTTTGATTGGGAAATTGGTATCATTCATGTTGAGAGTTATTCCTGAAAGGAATTGACTTATTCTTGTTATTGCATTATTTTCCTGTTGCTGATTTTCTTTTTTTTTTTCCTTTTGCTTAACTGCTCATCACACCGGGTATATTCAT